CAACTCTGTCATCCCCTCCAAGTTAAACACTAAACTCGGAGACCTGGGCTTCAACACCTCCCTCCGTCACTGGATAATGGACTTTCTGACCAACAGACCCCAGTATGTTAGGTCAGGACACACCTGCTCCACCACCATCACACTCAACACAGGCGTACCACAGGGCTGTGTGCTGAGCCCATTCCTCTACTCCCTCTTCACCCACGACTGCAGACCTGTACATGGATCCAACACCATCATCAAGTTTGCGGACGATACGGCGGTGATTGGCCTCATCAGCAACAACGATGACACGGCCTACAGGGAGGAGGTACAGCATCTGGCCCCTGGTGTGCTGACAACAACCTGCTCCTCAACACCAGCAAGACGAAGGAGATCATCGTGGACTTCAGGAGAGAAAGAGGAAGCACGCACAACCCCATTCACATCAACAGGATGGCTGTTGAACGTGTCTCCAGCTTCAAGTTCCTGGGGACCCACATCACAGAGGACCTCTCCTGGTCCACTAACACCTCCAGTCTGGTTAAGAAGGCTCATCAACGCCTCTTTTTCCTGAGGACACTGAAGAGACACCACCTGTCTTCAGCTCTACTGATGAACTTCTACCGCTGTGTGATCGAGAGCATCCTGACCAGCAGTGTCACAGTCTGGTACGGAAACTGCTCTGTCGCAGACCGTAAGGCGCTACAGCGGGTGGTAAAAACCGCCCAGCGCATCACAAGGTGTCCACTTCCTGCCATTGAGGATGTCCAAAGAAAACGCTGTCTGCGGCGAGCTCACGGCATCCTTAAAGACTCCTCCCACCCTGCCCACAGACTGTTTACCCTCCTGCCCTCCGGCAGGCGCTTCAGAAGCCTCCGGACCAGAACCAGCAGACTGAGGAACAGCTTTTTCCCCAGAGCTGTTTCTCTACTGAACTCTACCCCCGAACTCTGAACTCTGTCTCTCTCTCTCTCCCTCTCTCTCTCCGCACCCTGCTGACCCCCCTTTCCCCTCCATATCACCTCACACCCTTCATCACCCCACCACTCCTCCTGGTCACACACACACATCTCTCATCCATCTGTATTATTGTATCATAGTATGTTCATATTATCCATCTGTATTATTGTATTATAGTATGTTCATATTATGTCCATATTCTTATATTATCTGTAAACTAGTATAACATGCTCACTGCATCTTAATCTGTATATTATTAGTATAGCATGCTCACTGCATCTTAATCTGTATATTATTAGTATAGCATGCTCACTGCACCTTAATCTGTATATTATAATCCTAACAACACACTGATTTTGTAGCATTACTTATTTATAGCATTTATTTATATTTATTGCATCCCATTAATCCAGCCATCCAGATTTACCTAATAATTCACTTTCTTGTCTACATTTGTAAATTTTGCAATTACTGTACATAGCACAGACTCTTGCACTCAATTACTTTACATAACACAGACTCTTGCACTTTCTGCTTATTTGCACTTCTGGTGAGATGCCAAACCTCATTTCGTTACTCTATACTTGTATATGTGTAATGACAATAAAGTTGAATCTCATCTCACCTCACTGGAGCCAGACCTGGGGGGGCCTGACGGCAAGCGTCTAGTGGTCAGGCTTTCCTACATGGGGCCCAATCGGGTTCAACCCGAAGTAACAACATGGAGCTGCCATTCTGTGGGCGCACCACCTTCAGGGATTGGCATGGGGGTCAGGTGCTGTGTACACCGGACGGCAGGCGTAGGAAGTGGCCTAGGCGAGCTGATTCCTATCAGCGTGGTCTGGTATTGTTTATTTTGAATTTAAAGCTAATGCCCCCGTGTTATCGTTTGGATCTTTTTTATCTTCTTTATGTCTGACATGTAGAAGTTCACCAGCAGCTGATTTGGAAGTCACACCTTCTTCAGGCATGTCAGGAAGTGGAGACTCTGAAGAGCTTTTTTGGCCATCGCTGAGGTGTTGATGGACCAAGTCGCGTCCTGGCTGACGTGGGCACTTAGGTATTTGAAGCTGTGCACGACCGCCACTGTCTTGCCGTTAATGTTGGGCTTCAGCCTCCTGAAGTCGAGGACAATCTCCTTCATCTTCACCGCATTGAGGATCAGGTTGTTGTCTCGGCTCCCAGTTCTCAACCTCTGTTCTGTAGGCTGACTTATTGTTGTTGGTGTTTCAGCCAACTAGGATGGTCAACTCTGCGGTGCACCTGTGTTCAGTATGATGGAGGTGGAGACATGCTTTACCATGGACACAGTACAGTCTGTGGCCTGTCAGTGAGGAAAACATTGATCCAGCTGCACAGGAGTGTTAATGCCCAGCGGGATCAGTTTTGTGGCCAGGTTGTGGGGGGGTGGTTTAGGTTGAAAGCGGAGCTGAACTGAAGTGAATGAACAGCATCCCGCTGATCAAAGTGTGTCTGTGCAGTGGGGAGGACCAGTGACACTGCGTCCTCAGTTGTGTTGTGGGTGTTTGTCCAAGGAGAGTGGCATGTTGCTCTTGATGTGTGCCAGAACAAGGCGTTCAAAGAACTTCATCACAACCGGTGTCAGCGCCAGTGGTCAATGAGTCAGTGACCTGATTGCTGTCCGTTTTAGCACTGGAGGAATTGTGGCCAACTTGAGGCAGGTTGGGACTGTTGCCTGCTTCAGGGAGATGTTAAATAGGTTGGTGAACACTGCTGTTGGCTGTCCTGCGCAGTGTTTCAGGGCCCTTCCTGTAACCCGATCAGTGGCTTTGTTTTGGATGAAGTTGTTCTAGGCGGTCTCACCTAGTAGGGGCTCAGCATCAGCCCACCTGGCATGTCCCCCTGCAGTGTCAGTGATGGGTTGTTGAGATTGTCTCTACAATCAAACCTGGCAAAGACGTGGTTCAGGTCCTCAGGGAGAGATGAGTTGGCAGTGTGTGTTGGGCTGCTGTTGTTGCCTGCATAGCCTGTTATGGTCTTGATGCCATGCCACATGCGTCAGGAGTCTGAGCTCCTCTATACGCATTTTGTAGCAGCGCTTCGCTTGTCTGATGCCTTTCCTCAGTCTGGACCCGGCTGTACTGTAGGCCACCTGTGCGGAAAGCAGTTTCACAAGCCTTCAACAGGTTAACCATAGCTGCATTCATCCACAGTTTGTGGTTGGGGAGTGCATGTATGTTCATCTCTGTGGTTATATTGCCCATGCAGAAGGTGCTGAGTGCAGCAGAGGTAAGGCAAAGGTGTTTAAGTCTGTGTGGTTGTTGTGTGGCAGTTTGTTTGAAGATGTACCAGTCTGTCTCATCGAAGCAGTCCTGTAGCCTGGGCATTGCTCCCTCAGGCCAGACCCCGATGGTACAAAGCGTGATGTTTAATCCTTACGATGAGAGGTCTGTATATGGGGGTCACAAGCAGGCTGATGTGGTCAGACCGGCCAATGTGGGGGAGAGGGACGCTTTGTAAACCCCTGCTATGTTGCAGAAAACATGGTCCAAGGATTTATTTCCTTTTGTTGGGAAATCCAGGTGGTATCTAATGGGAGAGCTCCAGGCCGCAGAGTCTGAGCAGGCCGCCATCTTTACACATACACAAACACACACACATCAAAGACCACACACCTCACAGAATACTCCAAAAGGGACAATAAACCACAAACACAGAAGTGGGCGTGTCTGTGTGTAAGGGACTAATGTGTATCCACATCCAGGTCCAGATATGGTCACTTCTGGTTCCAAAGAACCATTGTAGTATTTGCAAAAATGCCAACATTGGTGCTCACTGGTTGGCTTCAGTATTCATACACTTCTTTTATACAGAGTGGAAAAAAATGAAGAAAACTGTAGTTAGTGTGTTTCCGCTCAGCAGCAGGTACAGAAACCCACCATGAAAACTTGAAACAGAAGCTTGCTGCTTCTATTGTTTCATGTGCTTTAGCTTGAAAGACGGTCAAAAAAATTCCACTGTGGTTGTAAAGTAATACCCTCATATGAAGGGCCAATCAGATTGCCCTGTGATTGTTCCCTCCTACTTTATATGGTTCTATGAAGGAGAAGCAGCTTCTCATACGAGTTCATTCTACTGCTGTATTAAGTGGACGAAGAGAAAATGAAGTCTGTTCTTGTTTTTCTACTGACGCTCACACTTGCTCGTAAGTTTTTGTCCAATCTTCTCGTCTAATTCTGATCTTTTCAGGATTAATATGTTTTATTTTTAGCACAGAGCATACATGATCTTTCTCTGTTGTTAAACACTGACATATATTTATTTTCTTCAGGATGCACCATCTATGAGAACTTTGAGACAAAGACTGTTGGTGTTGGAGATGATGTGACTCTGACGTGTCCTCGTGATGAATCTTTATCTTCAACACAATTATTCTGGCTCCGGCTCGTTTCTGGAGATTTGCCTGAGGTTTTGGGAGGAACATTTAGCTTTGAATATGACGACGTTCACAAAACTCCTCGAATCACAGCAAACAAAAACCTGGAACGTTTGTCATGATTATCGATAAAGAAAAGTCGGAGACACTGGACTTTACTTTTGTGTGAAACAAGAGAGGATTAATATGACAGTTTTAAAAGGAACATTTCTGCAGATTAAAGGTAAAAAAAATACTTAAAAAAACGAACATCATTCATAACAGCATTGATTCCAAATTGAGAATATTTTTATCAAATCCAGCATATTTACTTTGTGTTGAATTTATTCAGGACCAGAGCCCAGTATCACCTCAGTCGTTCAAGACATTTCACAGGATCCAGTCCACCCAGGAGACCTGATGACTCTGCAGTGTTCTGTTCTCTCTGAGTCTGAAAACAACACATGTCCAGGGAAACACAGAGTGTTCTGGTTCAGAGCCGGATCAGATGAAAATCATCCCAGTGTCATTTACACTCATGGAAACAGATCTGGAGGATGTGAGGAGAGTCCAGAGGCTCACTCTCCACAGAAATGTGTCTACAGCTTCTCAAAGACCGTCAACTCCTCCGACGCCTCGACTTATTTCTGTGCTGTGGCCGCATGTGGAGAGATATTGTTTGGAAAAGGGACAAAGATTGACATCAAAGGTAACTGCAGAGCATTCAATATGAATCATTCTTTAACATTCATTTTCAAACAATTGAATCTACCTGGAAGATTTTAGTGAAACATCTTAACACAATATGTTTTTATATGTTTTCAGGAGCCGACAGTCGGACGGCCGTAATAGCTCTGTCTCTGTTATCAGCTGCTTTGGCTATAAGCTTGATTATTATAGCTTTCCTGATTCATATCATCAAGACTAAATCGTGTGATTCCAGCAAAGGTAACAGAACATTATCTCCAATAAATAAAATAAAGTATTGAGCAAATATTAACTTTATATCTTTGTATAAATTAAACGCTTACATCTTTGTTTTTTTAAATTGATATCACAGCTGCTGAAGTTCTGCAAACACATCCTGCAGCAGATCGACGACGCCAGCAGGTGAGATACTTCAGAAAAGATTCAACGAGAATCATTTGTTGGAATATTGTTTTCCTTTTTAAGTTTATAGAAATATCTGCTCAAACTATTTTTTTCTCAGGTAGCTGATTTCTCACAAGTCAAAAGTTTGCCCTCATGTTGCTGTTGAAACTAAACTTACGATCAGTGTTGGGCTCGTTATTGAAAAAAGGAATATATTACTCATTACTCTTTTTAAAAGTAATATAATTACTTTACTCATTACTCCCAACAGAAAATGTTGTTTGTGCTTTGCGTGATGATGATGCTCAGAGAGGGACGTAAGTGTACTCTCAAATATTCCTACACATGTAAAGAACTAAAGTTTAACGTTGAAGAAGAGAGCATGCACAAGTCTGTCATCTCTTATATTTATGTGACAGAATGTCTTTCAGGATGCATGAATCATCCGTCCTTTGATGAAAAGACTGCTGCAGTCGGAGACGAGGTTGAAATGAAGTGTAAGCTTGACTCTACAGGAAGCTATTTCTGGATCCGCCTCGGTTCTGGAAACTTTCCTGAATACTTAGGAAAAGCAAATGGCTTGGATGTGAAGAATTCACGCATTACAACTATGGAACAACGAGATAAGGGAGGAGAATTTATTCTGCGTATGAGAAAAGCAGAGCTGAGGGATACAGGATTTTATTATTGTATGAGAACAAATCAACGAAACTTGACTTTTCTGACAGGAACAAACCTGACAGTTAAAGGTGAGCTAATTATAATTTACACTAATTTAGCTATTTGTAAAAGATTGTGTTGAGAGTTGACAGAATTACATTTAAAAATCAGATTTTAATCTCCCAGCAGCACAACCTGGAGACGCTGCAGTCCGTCCTCCTGATCCGGTCGGTCCGGGAGACTCAGAGAAGAAGCAAACCTGTCCAGGAGAACACAGTGCGTGCTGCTTCAGAGCCGGATCACATCAGTCTCATCCAAGATGGAATTTCACTCCAGAGAACAGTGTTAAAGAAGTGAAAGGAACCCGGCTGGAGTCTCGATAAAGAAATGTATTTGCAGTGTCACTCAGAACTTCAGCTGTTCTGGTGAGGGACTTACTTCTTTGCTGTGGACACGTGTGAGGAGAAAACTTCTGGAAACAGATCAGACTCGGCCAAACAAGGTAAATGTTTCCTTGGTGTTTGAAATGATGAGTTCAGTGCCCTGACTTGTATTTATCTGAGTCTATGAAATAAGCCTTATTTTGGACAGTCGTCCAACTAAGACGAGCCTTTAGGTTCAGGTTCACTGACTTTATTGGTGACATTAGGTTGCAGTGAGAATCACATATACTTCATAAAACAGATGATACATAAAACAAATGCAAAGTGCAAATGCAAGGTACATTGGTAAAAGTGCAGCAGTGCATAAAGTGCAGTTTCTAATCGACAATTTGATAAAAAGTTTATATGTAAAAGTTACTGATTGTAAAGTGTAACCCGTAACCCTAACCAACAAATATATAATAATTTGATAAATAAATGAAGCATTAAAAAGCATGACATCAGCTTCCCAGCATGCTATCCTGTCCCTCCATACAAGATCTTCATGAAATTACAACAACCACATCAAGCAGCAAAGAAGAAAAGCATCATACAGAGATATCCTTCGACTTGTTCTGCGTAATAACGGCTGCTGGGGGGTGCTGGTGGTGGAGTGGATGGTGTGCGTTTTGTATGTTTGAACACACCTGCCATCATAGTGCCTGTCAGCTTACTGGTGTGAAAATCTATATATATGGGTGTGGCCCACCCTCCTTTTTTAAGGAATTTAAGGTCCTGGAAAATATATTAAAACCAATGTCTGTTGCGCCTCTCTTCAAGAGAAGGCCGTCTGACCTTCACATACAGGTCACAGTGATGAGTACTGAGTCTATCCCCAGTTACACATGTTAGGGCAGAGTGGGGAGTTGAATCTGAAGTATTGCTATAACTCTCTTTCCAAATACGCCGTGCACGTGTAGGGCCATGCACTTTACTGTCGTTCACAATGTATTCATGATTAAATCATTCTTTTGTATTTCCTTTGTTGTCTAGCACGAACAGTAAATTCCGAATCAATCGGGCTGGTCATAGCGATACTCTGCTTGGTGATTTCTCTGATTGGAAATGTTTCTCTCATTTGCTTCCAAACTCCGAGAGAAGAAAGTGAACAATCTAAAGGTTAGTGACGATGACCCGTTCTAAAAGCATTATACAATTTCATGTAACAACGTGTTCTCAGAAGGAGGAAGACACTTTTCTGCCGGGTTATAATCTTCCTAACAGCTGTGGTTGTTGGCTCAAGTAATGAGACGAACTCGTTCTCTAAGCAGCAAAAAATCATCAAACCTTCTTCATCTTTCATTTTAACTCTGCATGTATTTTCTGTTTCATTATCCAGCTGCTGTCGTCCTGCAATTAAACAGCGAGAGGGTGAAAAATCAACAGGTAAATCATTTAAAGATGTTCATGTTGTCCTTATGTTTTTGTCCATTTAATAGCTCATGTCTCTCTTTGCCCAGATTGATGAGGAGACTAAAGTTTACTCTGCTGTGGTCTTCACCATGAGGAAAGCTGACCGTGGTGCAGTGAAGGATGCAAAAGTAGCGCAGAGGAAAAGGATGTGTGCTGCTGTGAAGGATTTTGGTTTGAATTAGTGAGTGAAAAGGTCTGTTTGGCTACATTTGATTTAGCTGATTTTAGTTTGTTTAAAGCTTAAGAAAATGCTGATTACCTCCAAATATCTACACTTAGATAACTTAAGGAGGTGCTATGAATATTCTATCACTCAGGTTGTGACTGTATTGGTATGTGTATGCAAATGATATTCTATAATTCATAATAAAATGTATTTGTCAAACCTCCTTGGATTAAAGGACTGTAACATTCAGGCTTACCGGGTCTCCTGCGTTGTTCTTTCTGTAAGTCCATGAGCGCTTTGTTTATGAGGAAACATCACACCACATGTTGGGAGGATAAGAAATACATGTTTCTAAATCTGCTTTACATTTTCAGGGTTCTGTCAAATGTCTCGTTATCATTTGGAGATAATCAATCATTCAGTCAATCAATCTTTATTTGTTCAGCACCAATTCATAATAAATGTTTCTACAAAAACAGCCGCTCTGCACTTTACTCTTTATTATATTTACAGAAACACAAAATTCATCCATCAGCAGACAAACATTTAGCAAAGTAACAATGGGAAGATAAAAAAAGGCAGAAGCCTGGATCAGAACCAGACTCATGTTGAACAGGCAGAAGCCTGGATCAGAACCAGACTCATGTTGAACAGGCAGAAGCCTGGATCAGAACCAGACTCATGTTGACCCGCCACCTGCTATGACTCTGTTTGGCTTGAAAGAACGGCATAACTGGGTATTACAAGGCCCAAAGTCAGACTGGCCTCTATGAATACTCATATAAGCTGCTATGATTTTATAAAGTCATAAATACAGAACACTGTGGTGTCATTTCACTTGCACGGCTGTATTCTTTACCTTCAAGCAGAAAATACTTTATTTCAGGTTGTAAAAATGTTTCTGAACATGAAATGATTACATGTGGGGTCCCCCAAGGGTCTATTCTTGGCCTTCTCCTTTTTCAAACAAAATAACTGTATTCGGTCCCAAACAGGAGGGATCATGAGTCAGCGCTCATTTACCATCAATTTCACAGAAGCCACACATCAAGCAAGAAATCTGGGTGTTGTTTTGGAGTCTGA